CTATGTTATGCCAATTGAGCTAGATGTTCCCCGAGACCATGGTCCCCACATCCCTCAGCTCAGCAATTCAATCCCTCAGGGAGTTCAGATGTGTCTATGGAGCTTCCATGACCTTGCCTTGTACAAATTGTGCTGGCTTCCCCAGTGTTGTGTACTGTCTTACCCTTCACCAAAGTTACCACTTATCTATTGTCTATTTAATGTTCCCCGCCACCTTGTAAACATCAAAGATTGTTTCTTTTTGATGGCATGTGTTTTCAGTATTGGAATGCATGCTTACTAATTGAGTGTGTTTAAATTTTTGGTTGATAATATGGATTTTGAGACCTATGATCTCCTAATACAATCCACCAATGAGACTAGTGTCACTTTGGTGCCACCGATCTGTGGTATGACAATATACCAAAGAGAACTAGAGAATTTATTGGGAGCAGCTTTCTATTAGGTTACATGGGAAACCTCTGGTTTTCCAAATATGACACTGAGAAACCAAAACAAACCCATAAGGGCTCCCTAACTATCACACAGGAAAGTTAATAATTATGCTTGCAAGCCTTATCTCACAGAAATAAAGGAAAAAAAGGCAAAAGTTTACTATTCTATTAGGAAGCATCACCTAATAGAATGCTCAGCCTACACAACAGTGAGGTTCCAACTCCATTCTGCTGAACTTCATGCATTTCAAAAGGAACTCACCTCCACACTAAATGCATTAGAACTGGAATAACGTACTACCAATGAGCCCTGGTGGCCTAACGGTTAAGAACTCGGCCACTAACCAAAATTTTGGCAGTTTGAATCCACCAGTTGCTCCTTGGAAACCCTACGGGGCAGTTCTACTCTGTCCTCTAGGGTCGCTGTGAGTCGGAATCTCTATGAGATGGTAACAGGTTTGGTTTGGTTTTGGAATGAGGTCCAGAGGTATAAAAAGTGGCTGGTATACTGTTACACCAATGGTAATGAAAGAGTTATAATGAACTCTACATAATTCTCTTTACTGAGTAGGCATTTATTAATCTTAATAGATACTATTGTTCCTTTCATGAAATTCTAAGTTTAAAACCCTACGTATATTTTATGTTTATCAATCATCTATCGATCTATTGATTGACTTATCTATCAAATATCTATTATCAAGCCAAAAGGACCCTATTTGTTATGGCAATGAATTTTCTGATATTCACAGCAGGCAAATCAGTTTTCTAGCATTCCTTATTGAGTTCTGTATATTAGATACTTCTGAATGAATATGCTGCATCAAACAGTATCACAAGGATAAAATCATCACGGTTGTATAAATGGAATGTGGCAAAGAGTGCAGACTTGAGAAACACAGGATTTTGTAGGAAACTGGAGTCTCACCTAATGCTCTCTTCCAGGTTTTAATACATTTCTCACTCTGTTTACTCCACACACAACCTCCTTAACTCATATAGTTCAACATGAGAAGTGGAAATAACATGGGTGGGTTTTGGAATCCAACAGATAGGGATTCAATCCCTGTTCCACTTCTATGAGCAAATCATTTATTCTCCCAAGGGTCAGTTTCGTCAGTTGTAGGAACAGAGTCATCAATACAGGGCTACTTGGTGTTCAATGTAATTGTTTGTGCACCCAGCAGTCACCCAGAAGGTGTCTAATTCATTTTAGTGTAATTTAGTCAACAACAAAACTAAGGGCAAGTTGATATATAACTAATTCATTCTGAATTAAAGCAACAGTGAATACAGTTATAATTTCTTAGTCAAGCACTTTTTGCTGTTTTTTTTTTTTTAAATTGGAAAAATACAGACAGAAGGTTTTCTTTAACTGTTTTTTCTGAAATGCTTCATTTTGGTGGTTAGTTTTCATATTGAGTTCTCGTTTTAATTTCTAACGTTTCCAGATGTGTGAGGACACTGCATATGCTAGTGAACCATTCTATTCTTGTTTATACCCCTGGGTATTTATTCCTCATGTTTTCCACTCCCTCAAGAAAGAGTTCCCTTCTTTTTATTCTAAATCTAATTTTAACACATCTTTTCAACTATTTCAGCTTATCTAGATCTTTCTGTTCTCTGAGACCCTATCCCATACTATGTATTTTGGACATCTGTCCTTCTATTTATAAGGTTTTAAGCTAGTTGGGTGACAAATTCCTTCACAACTGTGACTGTGTGTATTTTTTGTTTTTTTCCTCCATAGCTGTTAGCACAGTGGTGAGCAGGCAGTAGATATTCAACACAGATTTGTAAACTGAACTTAATTGAAAAAAAAAAAAATCCCTTTCCAAGTATCTGAGACACTGACAGGCCATAAATACACATCTTGGGTTTGGTGGCCATGTTACATCTTGTCAAGCTCCGAGATTTCACATGAAATTCTGATAGCTTACACCAAAGATGTACAAATTGTGACTCCTTACTCTAGAATTTCAAAAAATCTTTCCCGCTTCCACCTATCTTAACTTGAAGTTTCTACCTCATTTCAGAGCCCTGGAATATATTCTTCCTGAGGTAAGCACGTTATCATTTTAAAGATACTTTCATAAGATGAAAATAATAAATCAGGATATACTAGAGCCTAAACTTGGGTTAGGAAACCCTGGTGGCACAGTGGTTAAGAGCTATGGCTGCTAACCAAAAGGTCGGCAGTTCAAATCCACCAGGCACTCTTTGGAAACCCTATGGGGCAGTACTACTCTGTCCTATAGGGTTGCTATGAGTTGGAATCGACTCGATGGCAATGGGTTTGGTTTTTTTTTTTTTAAGCTTGGGTTAAGGGCAGAAGGAGGAACTCAGTTTTATTTGGAACAGATCCTCATTTGAATAATACTTATTGATGTGAGTAAGCAGGGGTAGTTCCATCCGAGATTTGGAGAGGAGACAGGAGAAGCAGAGGACCAGAGAAGCAGGAAGGAAATAGTCCAACCTGATAGTGGCCAATTTTAAGTTGTGTGCTTGGATATCTGTGGTCCAGACACAATACAAGGGCAAGAGTTATGGGAGCAAGACATCATTCTTCTTTTAAAGAGAACTCATCCTTCAGTCCTGTATCACAGCATCTATTGTACAAAACCACAAAAATATGATTGTATTGAAAAATTATTCTTGTATGACTCTTCAGAGATAGTCTATGGATCAAGGTAAAATAGTATCAAGTTAAACTATGACAACTAAGCAAGAAATATTGCTGCAGACAATGTGGTTCCAAGAGAAGATGCTGGGTTTATAGAACAGTATCCCTGGACTCAGGTTCCCACTCCACCATTAACCAGTTATTAGTGGTTTGAGACACTACTCAACCTCTATTACCCTTAGTTTCCTCTTTCATAAATGAGGACAATAAATCTCTAGGCTTTTTTTTTTTTTAATTAAAAAAATCTTTTATTAAAAAAAAAATTTCTTCAAAATACTTTCATTTTACCTCCTTACATTTAAATGCACCTCAGTTGAATTATCCGGTGGGGCATATAACAATAAAGAATGATGTTTCTTTTCTAGGATTTCATAATTGATTTAATCTTCACAAAATACTCTAAGGGGGCCAGCGAGAGAAAAATTAACACTTATCGAACACCTGGTATGAACCAAAGGTTTCACATTTATTTACTTCTCACAGTAGCGTTATGAAGTGGAAAGTTTCACTTCTCCATTTTATCATTAAGGAAAATTGAAGCTCAGAGAAGTCAAGGAATGTGCCTAAGGCCACACAGAGAGCAGGTGAGGGCTGGGCAGCACCAGGTTCCACTGTCGGGTCCATCTGATTTAAAAATCATGTTCTTTCTAGCATATGATGCTGGAATTCTGTAAAGTGGTAAAATGGTAGGTATTCTATTTTAACAGATGAAGAAACCGAGGTACAGAGAACCAGGAGGACTTTCTCAGTTTTGCAGTGAATCAGCCTTTTGAGTGCCAGGAAGAAATCCCAAGTTTTTTCCATATAGAGTGTAAGCTCAGGCCTGGGGCGAGGTGCAGGCAAATATCCTTTTATATGATAATTCTATTTTTATTTGATATCAGCATTGAATTTTCAGGTTTTTAAAGTTGTGAGTTACGAGAAAATTGAGCTCATTGTACTTATAAATTTTTATTAAATTCTAGTAAAACACTTGGTTGGTCTTTTCTAGAGAAAACCTTACAATGAACACATTTTATATCCTAGAAATTGATGAAGCTCTTTATTTGTTCCAAACCATGCGCTTGCCTCTCCAACCTGAAACCCTTTATCCCACATGTACCTTATATATTTAGAGTACGCTATGACCTAATCTTGAATCTTATTTTTTGTTATAAAATGTAATTTTCTTTTCTGGAAATGCATTTGGAGCGCTGTACAGCACTGAGAGTGTTGAGCTCCACTGTACTTCCTCTGGCTTCTGGAAAGAGGTTGTTTTATTTTTTTTTCCCTCTGACAACTTCCCTAGTGTTGGTTGTTTTATCCTGTGTGTTTGCGTTGGCTTTTAGCCTTCCGTTCCTTCCAGTTGGCCAGGCTCCAAATGAGAGTCAACTATTAGCCTAGAAGTATCATTTTCCAACACAGTGTCAGAGGGAAAACTCCACCTTCTACACCCACTACTAATTACCATAATGTTACAAGACATGACTTGTTTCATCATTCACCCATCACTTGTGAATTATCTGCTTTCCATAGCTCTCATTCTTCCAGAAAATGAGCTCGAGCCACGTGGAGAATATGCCTTTAAATCATTCAAGTCCTCAAGGAACACAGAGATCTTCCGGGAAGCTATGGCTCCTCTGCTCAACAATAATTTTCCTATTGCTTTGCCTCTTCATTACACTAATCTTTATTTTTCTCCTACTCAAGGTAAGGAGGCAACAGTACATGAGGTTGCTATTTATTATAACTCCTTTTTTCTTTTGTTATTCTAGTTATCATTGTCACTCAGTATTGCTATAGCTGGTTGAAAGGAAGAGACATGTGGGCACAAATAATGTAAATATGATTCCAATCTTGTCATGACATATGGATTTTGAGGTTTATCTAATTGTCCTGAGAGGGAAGGTATCAGAAAGGGTTAAGAGTTAGTTACAGAACTGAGTCAGATGGAATGACTTGAATAAACCAGTCAATTGACAAACGTTTGTGGAGTATTTTCTCCTATCCTGGAACTCTGCTAAACATTCTTGGTGGAATGAAAAAGCTATCAAACATTATCCTTACCCTCAAGGAATGGAATGCAAACTAATAGTACTAAAAAATAAATAAATAAACAAAACTCGTTGCAGTCAAGTGTATTCTGACTCATAGCGACCCTATAGGACAGAATAGAAGTGCCCCATAGGCTTTCCAAGGAGCGGCTGGTGAATTCGAACTGCTGACCCTTTGGTTAGCAGCCCAGCCCTTAAGCACTGTGTCACTATTAAGGGAAAAGACGTAAAAAGATAACTCAAGATAGAATAAGGTAAGTGACACATGGTTAGTGTATCATTTGAGGGGGAAAGAGCAACTGAACTAGGAGCAAGAAGATCTGGATTCTGGTTCTAGATCTTCCAATAACCAGTTTATAAATTTGAGAAAGCCATTTAATTTTTCTGATTGCAAGTTTCTTCATCTGAAAAAATGGTGGTGGAGGAATGGATTTGTTTATCATAATGTCTCTTCCAGCTATAAAATACTGTGATCAATAGTTCATCTAAGGGTAATACAGAGCATAACTGAAGTCTGAGCTTTCTAGGGAAGTGAGGTTTTGAGCAGAAGGAAAAGAATTGTTAGAAATTCTGAGCATTTAGATTTGTGAAAAAGTGTAGGGAGATAATAACAATAGCTTAAACTTGGAGGTGCTTTTTCCCTCTAAAAGCTACCTTACATTTTGTTAGCCAGATGAACACGGATATAGGTCTCATTGGTTCTGTCATTTGACTAAGAAACCAATGCATAGAGGAGGAAAATGACTTTTTCAAGGGCACACCATAGCTCCTGAAAAGGAAGAGAGGGAATCTAATAAAGCCTGAGGCATCTAGGACATCTCTTGCTAGAACTGAATTTAATCAACCCCATGTCTTTGAGCTCTGATCCTGGATTCTTTCTCCTAGAGAACATGCAGCTTTTCAATGAAAAATTCTGTCTCTAAAGGTACAGTCCAGAGTTTGTTACAAATCTGGGGAAGTTTAAAAGGTTTTCAGGGTATTGTCCTGACAGGATGCTATGGAGGCTATAGTTTCTATGGAGAAAGACCAGTGGCTTTGCCCACAATGGATGAGATTAGCTCATGTATTCAACTTTCCACTTGCCTGCACTTCCCTTCCTGTGGTGGCCACAAAGAAGTATCTTTGGGAAAGAGGATTGAGCAGCCTGTGGGTGGTGAGTCATTAGGAGGTGGCTGCTTCTGCCTTATCACAGTATCTATGATCCTTGGGGTTTTATATTATTTTGGTCTCCACTCTAGCTTTTTTTATACACTTTCTAGATTCTCTAGGCACTAATTCAAAAAGTGTAAGACAGAAAGACTGGCTTCTTTCTAGATCAACAAACAAATTCCCTTAGGACAATTTTATTTTTTCTTCTTCCAGGAGACGTTCAACTGAAGGGATAGGTTAGAAATCCAAGGAAATCTGGTTCATATCACAGTGAAAATAACCTCACAGAATTTGTCTCTAAGAAACTGAATGTTCAGGAGAGTCCTTTGCTTCAATGAAATGAAGGATACTTACAAATGGAGAAGCTGTAGTTGTACTTAAAAGCAGAGTAGATTCTATTTCAAAATGATGATTTGATTAGGGTTGATTTGAAGAAAAGAATTATGTGGATTATGGTTTAAATCAAATGGCGTTATAGGAACAACTGATCCCTCTAAGCAAAAATGAACTAAACTAAACTGGAACTCCCCTTTCATATTTTTTTTATAAGGGGGTATTTACTCCTTCCAAATGTCACCAGAGTTATAAATAGAAACTCCCCTACTGGTGAGATTCTTGAGTCAGACAGGATGGGTTTGGATCTTAGCCTGGCCTCTTATCCAATGGCATCTCTTGGGTTGGTGTCACCCAGTGTGGTAACTCATGGTGTCACCACCCCCTACACACAGGGACAGATTATCCAATAAGCAACGTAAGCATGAGTTACTTGTGCTTACTTACTAGTCTGTAGTGGACAATTTCACATGAGTTTCACCACATCTCCACACACCGTGAAACCCATGTGAAATAGTTCACTACAGATTAGTAAGTAAGTGCAAGTAAGCCTGTGCTTACCTTGCTTACTGGATCATCCACCCCTGTCAGGGATTGTAAATTTGAAAAGAGGCTTTGATTCTGTAGGAAGGTACTGTAGGGTTGGGAGAGAGACAGATGCCGGCCATACCTAGAAGCAGAATCTTTGATGTGGTGAAAAAATGTGAAATTGTTCACTACAAATGATCTGGTAAGCAAAGTAAGCACTGTGTTTACCCTGTTTATTGGATAATCCACCCTACCACTCATGCTAATTACCACAATACCAGAACATTTGACAAAATCAGCAACTATGCAAACACTGGCAGCAGTGAAAACAAAAGTATGTGCTTGTAGCGTCTGCAGATGAAAATACACGATTCGAAGCGTCACTGTAATTGGGTAATAATGACAGCTCTGAATGGAGTGCAGTAGAAGGTTCAAAAAGTAAATTAGCATGGAGTTTTAGCCTTGTAGGTATATTGATACGTGTAAGCTGGGCTTACAAAAAATACTTTTGTTGTTATAACTAACTACAGAGATATTTTTATAAAAAATAATAAATTTCTACTGAAACACAGCACAAAAATTTTATAGACAGTAATTTTGGTCTCACCCCCTCTGATAGTGTCACCTGGTGTGTTTCACACCCCCCCACCCCCTAGCGATGTCTTTGCTCTTATCAGCTGCATGGCCTTCTGCAAGTTACTTAATCCCTCTCGTTCTCATTTCCTCATCTGCAAAATAAGTATGGTAATACTTACACAATTGCAGTAAGGAGTAATGAAACGGTACAGTGTCTGGTACACAGTAGGCCTTTAATAGATGATAGTGATTAATATTTGCACCTTTATTATTAATGACATTACAATGAAGATAAATTAAAAAGATCTTTTAAACGTATGAATATTCTTTGCTTATCTGCTTCACTTCCTCAACCAGAGACTATATCTTACTGCCAGATTGATGATTTTTGTGATTAAATTGATTTTTCATCTGTGGTAATAATTAAAGACTAACACAATGGTGATTTCTGTAGCTCTAAATAGTTCTTAAAGGAGCCCACAGTACAATATCTGGAATTTCTGGCTCTGGCCAATAATTTGTTGGTGGTCTTAGGTTTCTCCACACACTCGTTATACATAATAGTAGATGGCACAGATACTATCTGTGGCTTGTACTTTGGCACCATTTATATTTAGATTGCTCTCTAATTACTTCATATGTATAGTCATGCCTTTCTAGAAGGATCAAAAACTTCCTGAGAGGCAAAGACTATAAATTACATTTGTTTCTCTCACTCACAATGCTAGTATAATGTTGGGAATCTATGTGCTTAAACTTTTGTGCAATGCTTCACCATCATCAGTATCATAATCAAAATAGCTAGTATTTATTGAGGAGACTCTGAAATTTGGGCAGAGCACTTCATAAGAATTATTTCATTTAAGCCCAACAACAGCCTCAATGAAATAGCTGCTATTATTTCCCCCATTTTATAGATGAGGAAATTGAGGTTAAGGGAGTCTCTATCACATGCCTAGCATGGGTTGAATTAAATTGAATTTCAACATCTCTTCTAAGAAATGCCAAAATGAGACTGAAATAATTTTAAGAGTAATAATTGAAAAAGAGTAGTGGCTTCTAAATTTTTTGATTGAACCTCTCTATCAATAAAGTCCAATTCCAATATTTGTATACTCATTTTTATAAATTATATTTAAGTGCTAATAATATGTATACTAAAAAGGTATAAAAATAGAAATTTATAAGGATGAGCTAAACAATATGCTTAATGTAGTTTATTCAAAGTGAAAAACCACTTGGATTTTACTAAGATATTAATATATTTTATATATTAATATATAAACATTATAAAATAAAGGAATATTTTAGTAGAAAATCTGATAAATGTGTTTCTTTTGTTTTCTTAATCTTAGTTTAACACTTTGTGATTCAGCAATTTGAGGGTCATGTTCCAAGTTAATTTTTCTTGATTCATGGTTTTATAGATTGTCATAACTGAAAAATTTACCTCATAAAGAAATAGAGATCAAAACAGAAGATTGCATGTTTGAGTGTGCTTACCATATCATGACACTCAATTTTCAATCCTTCATTCAATGATGCCAGATTAGTATTATTATTATTAAAATAACATTATCCCACACCCCATTCGTGTCTTTCCTTCCTTATACCACTGAAATACCATTTCCTTCCTCATACAACTTAAATTCCACAGCCTATAATTATAATCTTTCCTTTGCATAAACCCACTTACTTGCTTCTCTCTCTTTTCATCATACTCTACTGGCAATACGCCAACACTGGAAAAACCCCAACCCTGATTGCATCCAACTGCTCTGTGTCTTTCACAGCTGAATGTAGTTAAAGAAAAACACATGACCTTGCTGAAGGGTCATGACCACTAACCTCGAGTGGGACTTCAGTGTTGCTATGCAAACAACCTACATTTCTCGTCTGTTTACTCTCCGGCTCCTCTACTAGACTATGCCTTCTACTTCTTTTTACATATTTGTCTTAGGCTGGGTTCTCTAGAGAAGCAAAACCAGTAAAGTGTATAAATACATATATATAGAGAGAGATTATATCAAGTACACAGCTCACGTGATTGTAGAGTCTAGAACGTCCCAAGCCCGTGGATCAGGGTAGAGGCCTCTCCCAAGTCACGCAGCTGCAGAAGCTGTCAAGCCCAAGATCAGCAGGTCCGAGAGCAGGGCTCCTGCTCACAGGCTGTGCAGATCAACGAATCCCAGGTTCCGCAGATAAGCTGACAGCTCAAGTCCCAAGAACTGGAGATGAGACGACAGGAAGCACCTGCAGGATCTAGAGAGAGCAAAAAGCCACACCCCCAAGGAGACTCCCTTTCATCTGATTGGCTACTCACAGTATATTCAATCATGGACGTGATTACGTTAAAACACTGATCATGGCCCAGCCAAGTTGACACACAATCTCAACCATCACAATATCCAACACCTCTTTGCCCATTCTCACTCTCAGCTGATGTTTTTGGCTCCAGGTTCTGTGAGAAAACAGAAGCAGACAGGAAAAGAAGTTCCAAATCTCCCCACCATATCTACCGCTCACTTGCATTTTTGTCCATATACACTGCATTTCGGAGCCCTGGTGGCACAACAGTTAAGAACTCCGCAGCTAACCAAAAGGTCGGCGGTTCTAACCCACTAGCTGCTCCACAGTAGAAAGATGTGGCAGTCTGCTTTTTGTAAATGTTGCACCCTTGGAAAACCTATGGGGCAGTTCTACTCTGCCCTATAGGGTCGCTATGAGTCGGAATAGACTCTACAGCAACGGGTTTTTAAACCACATTTCCTTCTTGTTACTATGGGTAAATTGTTCATGCACCTATTCAAGACTGCCTATACACTGGATTCTATCCCCTCCTGCCTATCCAAGGCTCTAACATTTCTATCTCTTACATATTCTCTTACAACCTCCCTTTCCATTTACTGGAGCATTCCCATCAACATATAAACATGTTGCCATTTTTCTCATGTTAAACAAAAACAAAAATAAACACACAAAACCACCAAATCTCTTTGACTTGTCATCTCCATCCAGGTTCCACTCAATTTTTCTGCTCTTCCTTCCAACAAAACTCCTCTAATTTCTATTTCCCATTCACCCTTAAACTCATTCCCATTAAGCTTCTGTCCTCATCACACTACAGAAACTACTCTTGTCAGTAATCCTGATGACTGTCATGTTACTGAATTCATCAGTTAATTCTCTGTCCTTATTTTACTTGACCCATCAGCAGCATTTGACACAGCTGGTCACTCCTTCTCCCTAAACACTTTCCTCTCTTGGATTCCAAACAGCACACTTTCCTGGTTTTCTTTCTGACTCACTGTTTGGTCCTTCTTGGTCTCCTTTTCTGGTTCCTTTTCATCTCCCCAACCTCTAAACATTGCAGTGTCCCAGTACTGCCACTTTCCTCTATCTACACTCGCTGACTCAATCTCATGAGTCTCATATAAACTGAAGATTGCTAAATGTGTATCTCCAGAACTCCTTAAATTCCAGCCTCACTCATCCAACTGCCTATATGACACCTCTACTGAGATATCTAATAAACATCTAAACTTAACATGTCCAAAAACAAACTCATGATTATTTCTTTTCCCCCAATCCACTCCTTTCACAAAATGACTTCATAGGAAAAAGACTTGGTGATCTGCTTCCATAAAGATTACAGATTAGGAAACCCTATGGGGCAGTTCTGCTTTGTCACATGGGGTCACTATGAGTCGGAATTGACTCAACGGCACCTAACAGCAAGAACAATTCCTCTTCAATCTTGACCATTTCAGCAAATAACAACTTTAACTTTCCAATTTATCAGGCCAAAAAATCTTGGAGTCATGTTTGTCTCTTCTCATTCTCTCACCTGTTATCCATGTTAGAAACGCCTGTTGGCTCTGTTTTCCAGTCACTTATCACCATTTCCACTACTAGCACTTTGGTTAGAGGCACCATGTTCTCTTGCCTAGATTATTGCAATTGTCTTTTAGCTGGTCCCTTGCTTTTGCTCTTGCCTCCTTTTAACTTATTCTCAGCATAGCACCCAGAGAACACTCTGAAAGTAAAATGTACATCATCTCTTAAGTACCTAGCCATAAGAACATCAAAGAACTCTGTGTGGCACCAAAAAAAAAAAAAAAAAAAAATTGTGGTTATACTCTATCCTCTTACAAAGTGTTTTAGAACATTTACCATTTAGATATTTATATTTATAAAATTAACCACTCTGATGGCATCCTGTAGCATATAAACTGTGGTATGTTGCAACAGATTAAAAGTAAGGTCTCCTAAGTGTATCTCAATTACTGTATATGACACATAATTTTCTGAATATTAAGTGAGGGTAGCTGTATCAATCTGAATTGTAAATATTTGTCTAGCTTAATTTTTTATTACTTGAAATAAATATAAATAGAAGTTCCATTATTTTCTCCCCACATGTGGATGTATCACCTTGTACAGTCATTGGAGTGTGGAAACCACTGTTTACAGAAAACTACTATAGCCCAGTAGCAGGAGGGTCCAAGATCAAACAGTTCTCTTGTGGGTTGAGGTTAGGTGGATGGAATGAATCCTCATTTTTCGCCTAGAAGACCCAGGGAAGCTAGGTAATGAAAGGTGAAAGATGGAGTCAACCATCTGTAAAGGGAAGCTGAGAGATATAGAAGAGATAGGAGGCAGGGATTCTTAATACAGCTACAGAAGAGTCTTTTGCTTCAGGAATCTGAAGCTCTAAATAAATCAGTCAACAAAGTAGTGATGCTGCTATCATCCTGACCTATTTCTCTTTTTCTCCCCCAGCAGACTGTCAACGAGCCCTGTGTAGCTAAATTTGGTGAGTAACCTTTCTTGCATGCTTCCCTTTTACTTTTCTTAGTTTTTGATGCGAGGAAGAAGGCTCCAGTGCTGTCAAGAAAGCCTGAATCCTCTTTTACTCATTCTTCAGCTACTGTTTATAACTACCTATCCTGTGCCTCATACTCATAGCGACTCATAACAACCCTAATAGGACAGAGTAGAACTGCCTCATAGGGTTTCCAAGGAGCGGCTGGTGGATTTGAGCTGCCCACCTTTTGGTTAGCAGCCAAGCTCTTCAGAATTGACCTGATGGTAATGAGTTTGGGTTATTCTGTGCCAGGTAGTAGTCTAGGATCTAGGGTTACAGAGATGAACTAGACAGACAAGCCCATAACCTGATGAAGCTCACATTCAAGGTCTCTTCTTTGGGAAGGACTGCCCATCACTCTTACAGGCCTGGGGATCTGAGATCCAGGACTTTCCTTTAATTCTGTATTTTAATAAGCACAATAAGCCTCAGATTTCCATAATCTTTCTCTTTGAGAAGCTCTCTCATATCCTGCATTGCTGATGTCACATCGAGTAGGTGTGGTGGTGCTGGTATTGTTTCCAAATTTATAGGAAATGAGAATGAGAAGGGAATGGTCATTCCTTCCCATTCTTTTGCTTAGCTTCTTGCTCACTTTCTCTTATTGCTACCTTGTATTGGCATGGAAAACACACTAAAGTTTACAAGTACACTGAGCCTTAGAGCATTTCTTAGAATACACACAAATCCACAAATAAATACATTTTACATTTTTTATAGGTTTCAGAGTAAATATACCATTTCCTGCTAGGAATAGAAAGTTTCTAGGGTTAACCCTGCAGCCACTCTCTACATATAGCTGAAATAGTCAGACTTCCTAGTCTTGTGGGACTTAGGGTATTTCTTTTTATTTGACTCTTCCTTCGTCTGTGTGCGTGTGTGCATGTGTTTCAGTCAGTGGAATGGAACTCATCATACGTTTGAAATTCTCCCATGATGTGATAGAAGTTGAGAACCTCAAGTGATGCGAAGGTGGTCTTTGAGTAACCCCTAGAATTAAATAGGAGAACCAGTGACATTTCTTCCTAGGGACTTGCCTTGCCTACCACATGTCAGGCAGGAAGACATTTCCTGGGCCCATTGTAGACACATGGAAACATTTCCTTTTGTTCTAGAGATCTCTCCCTTACTCTCCTTCAGAATCTCCTGTCAGGCTTGTCAGTCATGTATGTAGGAATGACAGTTTAAGTCAAAATGGTACCTCTTCCAGGGTATTTTCTTATTCAGGTTTCTTTTTAATTATGGGACAAAGACTTTGCCACCTGGAACAAAAATTATGGAGAATTACAGACAGTTCAGGTAAGTATTTTGGGTGGTTAAATCACTTCCTGGGGCCCTGAAATCACACTACTGTGCAAAACCAACTTACAGATAAATATTTAAATTTCATGTATACCTATGAAAATAAATGACTAGACCTTAACCCTGGGCCCACTACCGTGTGACAGTATTACACTAGGGATACTTATATTGAAATACTCAAGTAATTTCCATTTATAAGCTCATGAATTTATAGTAGTTGTGGTTTTGGGGGAGTTTGGATAAAGATATCCCAAGCAGGTCTGGAATGATATATACCTGTAAACTGATGAAATTTAGACACAACACAACTAATTCAGAAACAGGGACATACGGTTCAATCAAGGTATATTTACTGAGTATACACTCGGTACCAGGTACTCTTCTAGGTGCTGAAGATAATGGCATTGAATAAAATAGATGTCTTTGCCCTCCAAGAGATTATATTCAAATGTCTATATGAAAACAATATACAAGTATACTACTAAATTTTTAGTATGCTAGATGGTGACGCTTTTCCTGAAGAAAACGAAAGCAGGGTAAAAAGACACAGTGACAGATTATTTAGCGAAGGTCTCACTGATAAGGTGGTACATAGTAAATAGTATTTACATAGAAAAAGCATGGATATGTGTCTTGGAATGCCAACCCTGCGTATCTCAGGGTAGAGTATGTGTGTGAGTCCTTCCTCTCTTTCCCCTCCCTCCTTCCTCCTTTTCTTTTTTCTTTCCTGCTACAAATTTTAATTAACAAGAGATGCGGTGCCACCTAAAAACTCATTTTCTATTTCATATCTATTTCCTCAGCTCCCCAAGCAAGAGATACCCTTAGGATTTGCAACTTCTCTAAAACAAGGAGTAGACACTTAAAATATTACAGCTGAGGTTGCAGGGCACTAGTATAGGTCAGATAAAACACTGATAGGTGGGAAAGAATTTGCTATAATCAGGAAGGAATGAAATAACTATACTTTCCATTTTTTCCTCTCTTGTAAATTTCTTATAGGACCATTACCCTCAGGATGGCAAATAACATCTTCTGAGCCTCTTTGTGTGGCTGTAGATAGGGACGAGAAGTCTGATTGGAAGCTGAAAATACTTCGGAGTGGCTTGTATGTAATTTATGGCCAAGTGGCGCCCAATACAACCTACAAGGAACCAGCTCCTTTTGCAGTGCAGCTACGTAAAAACAATGCCATCATACAAACTCTCACAGACAACTCTAAAACTCACAATATAGGAGGAACTTATGAATTTCATGCTGGCGATACGATAGCCTTGAGATTCAACTATAAATATCAGGTTCTAAAAAATGATACATACTGGGGGATCTTATTGGTAGCAAATCCCCGGTTCGTCTCCTAGTAACTTGACTTGGTCTCCTCATCCTGCTCAGCACATGCTGGGATGCTGAGGGGCGAAGTGGAAGAGGTAGAGTTTCAATGCCTATGGTTTGACTAGGTACATGAATCAACACAAACAAATCTCCTTTGCGTGCTGAATTTTCATTGCTCATTTGACTATCTGAAGGAGACTCAGACATTTAGCTAAAGACGCTTGGTTACCCCTGATGTTGGATCCACAAAGACACTTCACTAATCCATGATAAAATGAATGTTAGAATATAGGTGACAGAAACTCCTCAAAGAGTCTTTGTCTAATCCTTGAATCCCTGGTTGGAAAAATGAAGTCCTATTCCCATGGGAGCCTTGCCTAGTGTGATGGTTAAAGTTGTGTGTCAACTTGGCTGGGCCATGATTCTCGGTGGTTTGGCAGTTATGTCATGATGTAATAACCCTCCATTTTGTGATCTGACATGAGCAACCAATCAGTTGAAAAAGGAGTTTCCTTGGGGGTGTGGCCTGCATCCAATATATATGGATGTTATAGCAAAGCTTACGTGCTTCTGACTCGTCATTCTCTGACCTCCGGTTCTTGGGACATGAGCCAGCAGCCTGCCACCTGACCTGCAGATCTTGGGATTCACCAGCTCCTGCAACTCTGTAAGCCAGCAACCTTCTGCCTGATCTGCAGATCTTGGAGTTTGTCAGCTCCTGCAACCCTGTGAGCCAGCAGCCTCCTGCCTGACCTGCCAGTTTTGGGTTCATTAGCCCCTGCAACCACGTGAGTCAGAAGAAGCCCCTAGTCTGACACCTGACCCACAGATTTGGGACTTGCCAGCCTCCACAACTATGTAAGCCGTTTTTTTGAGATAAATCTCTCTCTCTAACCAGCTTCACTGGTTTTACTCCTTTAGAGAACCCAGCCTAAGACACCTAGTATGCAGAAAATGGTCCAGGGTAGTAACATTGTCTTATTCTAATGTTCTTGGGCTGCTTCACTTAATCCTTCCCATACTCCCATCTTCTGAGACCCTCCTCATAAAAAGTAGTCAGACTGGTAGTGTGGTCACAGATATGCCATCAATACCCTTCTTTAGATGTGATGTTAGAGGGTAGAGAACACTCCACAGAGCTATTGGGACAGAGATACGCATGACGTGGAATGGAATATACTTTATCTGGGAATTTTCCTTGGTTTCACCATGCTCAGGATTCAGGGTGCTTTATAAAGCCAGTTAGGGTAAAGGGGTCATTCTGAACTTTTACTAGGGCTTTATGAAAACTTTATGTGTGTCTAAACATTGCCAATGGTAAAGAAAGAGTCATCATTAGTAATCATTAGGTTTAAACCCAGAAATCGGTGTTACCAATATTGCATTATGTCATGTAATGACTTCATATTTTTAGCTAGCTCTCCACAGTTTGAAAAATGCTTCCATGTATCTTGTGACAACTTTATGAAGTCAACAAGGCAGGTATTTTGGGCACGGTTTTATCAGTAAGAATATGGAGGCAGATGGAGCGTAATTAATTTACCTCAACTCCAAACCCATTGCAGTCGAGTCGATTCCGACTCGTAAGGACCCGAGCCAGAGCGCTTTCCACTGTATAACACTGTCTCAGCTTTAGAGCTGGCATTCCTGCTATTAAGTTACACATGAACAAAGTTTAGCAGATTCAATTTTCAGGGAGCGTATTCCTCTTCATCCCCAGGTGGGTAGAGGGAGACCACTTGGGTTTTTCCTTTCTCAACAAACTTTCTTTCCCTGCCTGGAGCAGGGAGCTCTAGGGTGCTGCTCAGGGTTTACTCAACCAAATCCCCTTTCCCACCTTGAAAATTCCATCTCAGCTACATGTGTTAACGTCTAAAATTAGTGAATAGCACTCAATTCAATGAAAGCCTGCTAAAGTTTCGGACTCTGTTACATTAGCTGCTTGTGAGTTCTTGTTAAAAGGTATGTATATGATGACATGTTAACCCAATCTAAAATATTTGTAGATAATTGTGAAAAGCTATGTTATGTTAATTACTATCACATATAAAGCTAATTTAAAAATATTTGTATTGTGTGCAACAAAAACTGCTCAGGAGCAAGCTAAGAGCCTGAAACCAAACTGTTTCTCAGTAATTTTTTTTGTTTTGTTTTGCTTTTGTTTAAACATACACTGAGAAGCTGTAGGGTGAAGATTTAGATGCCTTGTTTCTCCTGCATTTGCATATGTTCTCAGGAAATTAAAGTTGTGTCACTTGTATATTTATAGAACCGCTATGGTATTGATATTGTGTTGTAAGCAACAGTGTGCCGGAGCTTGCTAGCACTAACTCAGGAAAGCTGACTGTTAAACTTTCAAGTTTGCAATTCAATTGTTAAATACTGCCATCTTTGAGCTTGGCCACGGTGGGAGTACTTATACCACGGAAATCGGCAAACTATAAATCAGGGCTTCTCTGTTTGAAGAGCCTGTTCAGCAGCCCACTATTCTTTGTAAAACTCAGCTTCTTAATGAACTTTGATTCCTCTCTGCCTCTGCCTCATTCCTGGGAGAATCAAGGCACAGTAAGGGAGAGAGTGCAATTGCCTTCACTTGTAGCCAGAGAGCTACCAACAATGTTTGCATTCTGGTATTGTAACTTCTGCCTTTGTTTTCAATATATGCTCTGTTTCCTTGCTTCTCCAAGCAGTTGTCTACGTTATAAACCTATAATAAAATATATATTGATAACGGTACTGGAACTGATTTATTTGTGGGTTATCAAACTAGACTTAGTGATCTATAGAACACAGAGGTGCATCAGAGAAATTCTTACCCATATGATACCTTGCTTGGCAAGAATTGGGCAAAATTAGGATGCAGGGGTGGATTATTCAATAGGCAAGGTAAGCATGGGGCTTACCTTGCTTACCAGATCATCTATAGTGAACAATTTCACATGGGTTTCACCACATCATCAAGTAGCAAAACTCTCCTGACTCTACTACCAAGGAGCTGGTCCTGATTTTCCTGCCAGATTTCCTGGGTGGGGTCAGACTCCAGCCCACTGATAGCTTTTAACTTTCTCTGATTGGAGTCAGACGCCAGTTCCTCTGATCTCTCAATTACAAAAAGTCCTTGGGTGGTGCAACCGGTTTGCAACCGACTGCTAACCAAAAGGTTGGCAGTTCATATCCACTCCACAGTGCCATGGAAGACAGGCCTGGTGGTCTAATTCTGTAAGACTACAGCTGTTGAAACTACATGGAGTGCAGCTCTACACTGAAACATGTGGGGTCTCCATGAGTTGGAATTGACCCCATGACAATGGAGTCCAAGAGATTCCCTTGAAGCCCCCTACCAGGCTTGAGTTAGAAAGTTTGATTCCTTCCCATCTGTTATGGATTGAATTGTGTCCCCCCAAAATGTATGTCAGCTTGGCTAGTCCATGGTTCCCAATACTGTGTAGCCATTTTGGGATCTGATGTGATTATTCTATATGTTGTAAATCCTAACCTTTATAACGTCAATGAGGCAGGATTAGAGGCAATTATGTTAATGAGGCAGGACTCAATCTACAGGATTAGGTTGGATCTTGAGTCAATTTCTTTTTGAAATATAAAAGAGGGAACCAAGCAGAGAGGAGAGGGACCTCAGTACCACCAAGCATGAGGAGCCAGGAGAGAAGCGTGTCATTTGGACCTGGGGTCCCTGCTCTGAGAAGCTCCTAGGCCAGGGGAAGATTGGTAACAAGGACCTTCCCCCACAGCCGACAGAGAGAGAAAGGCTTGCCTGGAGCTGGCATCCTGAATTTGGACTTCTAGCCTCCTAGACTGTGAGAGAATAAATTTCTGCTTGTTAAAGCCATCCACTTGTGGTGTTTCTGTTATAGCAGCATAGATAACTAAGACACAATCCTTCCTGCAAAGGGAGTGGGTGCGGACTCACAGTATGGCCACAGATCTCTCTTTGTAAGTGTTGTCACTAATCTCTCCTTTTTCTTCCTCAGGCCTCATTTTATATGCTTGATCTGACTGAGCTGTCCAAGGGTAGAGGAGGGGTTTACTTTCGTTCCTTTTGTAGATTCTGCATATTGGGGGTGGTGTCTTACTCTCACACTGATATCCAGGTACCAATATATTGGTGTTTGAATTGAAACTGAGTCAGGAAGAATCCCGTTTTTAACATCCAGGTATACTTTTATATGTCTAAAAAGGATATGGGGAGGTTTATAATAAAAAGCAGAAATACAAAAAGGCCCAAACCGACATTACATGAGTAATAAAATAAGAACTAAATAATAATTACAAAGAAAAGCAGAGGGAAAGGAAAATCATTGCTCAGAAAATCATTGTTAAGAATGTTATTACAAATGAACATAAAACATAGCTTTCAACTTCTTGATAGTCAAGGAATATTAGAGAAGCATGAAGGAATAAATAAATAAAATTGTTTTACCTAATTAGAATAAAGCATACCGTTTCACTGGGAGAAAGGAACTTTTTCCTAGTGCTTTTCCCCCAAAATACAGACTCTTCCATTCATCTTATTTGAACCTGCTGGTTTCTGATAACAGTTGATAAATTTAAGGGGTTCAATACAGGTTATTTGAGCTATCACTCCAGAGCCATATAGCAGTGTTGGTGAATCCCATTTTATTAGTTGGGAGAGTAGACCAGGGGGTTTATGTGACCTACCTAAAAGAATCCAGGAAAAGTTTGACAACAGGAAAATGAAAATTCAGTAAACAGGGTCCATTAGATTTGACCACCTTCCTCATCTCTTCCATAGCATAATCAGAGTGCAAACCTCTGATTTCAGCATTCAAGGTTATCGTTTCTACCCAGCTTTAGTGTTATCCAGGGACACTATAGGGGTGGATAAGCCTCAGACAGTGCCTCAGCATGCAGAGCCTGGGTTGGACTGAGGTGAGCTGATAGACTTTGTTTGTTGGAATGGAAGACACAAAAAGCCCCTTCATCTCCCCTCCCTGTTCTTGGATTGTCCCTCTTGGCCTCTAGTCTTTGAGGAGAAACTGATGACCTAGAG